CGGAAAAAGGAGAAAAAAACTGAGAAGCCTGAAACTCGTCATTCCTACATAATATATAGACTCGCATTGAACATCAGCTTTTTTGTAGGTTTTCTTTTTTGAATGATAAATGCATTATGCGTTTCAAGAAAAGGACAGTCTACCCGGGTGTATCAAACACCCAAAAAAGAGAGATGGCTCCAGGTTATTTGTCCTCGGTGTCAACTTTACAACTTTAAAAAGTTTTGAGCCTCATGACTGCGGCGGGAGGCTCATCGTACACCAAGCCAAGAGCAATACCCCTACTTGAATTTCCCAAAATGTCCTTTGCTTAGTTTGTTGCAGAAGCAAACCTTTTTGCTATCTGAACAGTGTGCAGTCTATTCGTGACAATACAGAAAAAGGCAGTTGTTTAGACGATCCTGCTTCATGGTGCTTCTTAGAGCTCATCTTAGCTAGTTCTTGAATCGTTGGACGGCAGAAAATGTTGTACGTTCTTTTTGCTGTTGTCTTGTGTAAATGGTTCGGTTCCTAAAAAGTAAATGGCCGTTTAGCCATGACTGACAACTGAATTTAGTTATTTTCAAATTAGTTGCTATATGAAGGCACTAAAGCGAGGTATAAAGAAACTGTTCCAGGCGCCTCGTTTTTCTCACGTTAATTGAAGTTTAATTGAAGTTTAGTAACAGGTTAAACTCCATTGTTTCTAATTTAGCTTGAACTGAAAGTCTCGTTGACATGTTTCAAGGAACCTAAAACTAATATGTCAAACTTGCCGACAACTTGCACTGGTTATTTGAAAAAGACCCAATTTGTTTTAAAATCGTCATTTTCGATATTTCATTTTCTACCGGACTAGCACATAGCAAACTTACACAAACCAAGACGTTGCTTTGTAGTTTTTAAGTATTTTAGATTGAAGTGGAAAACAATGATTGGAAGTATAGAGTTGTTTGGCCGCATTCTGTTCGGTTTTACACGAGGTGTGACAGAACATTACAATCCAGATGAACCTGAATTCACGGCCGAATCATTTGGTTACAGTCCTCTGGAAAGCACTGGACTGGAGTGGTATCGTGATCCTGTTGATGAGCTTATCTACCAAGAATACAACGATAGGGAAGCCGCAAGTTCGGGCTATCTAGCATCTAGGAGTGTTAACGTAAGGGTTACTGATGCTTGCTCCACAGAGAATAACGAAGACATAGAGGAGCTTGAGCAAGATAGAGAGAGAAGTATGGCTTGGAAGCGACTGAGACCATCTTTCACCCTCACAATTTGTAAATCAATGTACATCGGAGCTTTGATTTCCCTGTTAACCGCTGTTATCGTCGGTGCCATATACATTCTGATTTCCTACATCTGCTATAAAACTGTGCATAACTGTGAATTCTCCCATAAGAAGGAAATTCCATTACAGGTGCAATGGACGAGAACAATTTCGGGTTCGATCCTCTGCGCTTTCCTTTACATCTGGTATTTCACAAACCTGCTCTTTCTGTTTCGCCCATTTCAGCTAATGGGTGTGAAGAAAAAACTGTTTCTAATTTTTTGCATTTTTTTCTGTTTGGATGCAGTTTATCGTACATTGTTTCAGTACCTAGGTTTCTCTCAATCAAAGCTTTCTAAATTACAGAAGATCCCACTAAACGTACTTTTTATTACTAGCGTATGCTGGCAAGCATATGTTATAACGAAGCACTTTTGTGGACACATATGGTCAAGAAAACAAAAGCTGACTTTGTTCTTCCAACTAACTGTACCAGGAGCTTTTAGTTTCCTTCTTTCTATTCTCATTACTTCGTTGATCTACCCTCTTTACAACAAACAAAACAAAAACGGCAAACTATTAATCGCGCTTTTCGCTCCTCTCGTTGGCGTCTTCCTGAAAGTAATCTCGCGAATAAGCGTTCAGCGGTTATACAACATCACGCATCCGGGACATTCTTTTGTCTTGTTGGTACCCTTGTATTGTGGGGCAGCTGTTATTTTCAGAATTTTACAAGCGGATCTCGTCAGATTACAGACCATCGCTCTTCTTGGAGTAATTCATGGAGCTGCAGAAGTCATAGAGCGAAGTACAATGGTTTTTATTGATCACATTTGTCATCAACTAGTAGTAAGAAGAAGTTCCGCTCCTTGGGGAAGTTTTCGTACTCCTCGTCGTGAGAGACTCATGGCTGATATTACAATCATGAGTATGTTGTTTGAATCAGCTGC